ACTCGGTTTGAAGAAGGTTTGGTGCAGCTCAGAGTCGTCTGAAGCTGTAGAAAGAAGCTCATGATCAGTGGGTACCTCAGACAAGCATAAGATACGGGTTAGTTTCTGGTATATGCTGAAATGGGGAATTGATAAACAGAAAGTTGCGGGTTTAGTAGCTGGAAGTTACCTGAGCAGATATGGCAGTGGTTTAGACATCAAGAAGGGGTCTCGAGGGTCTTGTTGTTGAGCTGCAAAAGGGAATCAGAGACAGGGTATTGAACAGTGAATCAGAAAAGTACAAAGATAATGGACAATTCTGTTTGATGTATCAGTTTCGGGTTCTACAAATTGTTGAAGGTACCTCAGACGGGTTTACAGTGGTTTATACATCAAGTCACGTTCACAGAAGCTTGGTGTTGAGTTGTAATGTCTGTCATGACACAAAGAAAGGAAGACAAGGATAGTTGAGAAGCTGTCTACGTGATGTGTCAAATTGCAGGTTCTAAATTCAGCAGAGTTTTAGAAGGATACCTGGGTTCTGTGAGATTTTTGAAGTGTTGCTGGTAATTTCTGGAGACTTGAAGTTGATGACATAGTGGAGAATCTCGCAAAACAGTAAAGAGAGCATTGAGTTTCAGCCTTTATTCTAAGTTACTGGATTGTGAAGATTGATAAAACTAAGCTGAAGCTGAAACTAGGCTTAGAAAGAATTATATGTGTCATATCAACGGGATACAATCATGAATCGATAAATTGATCAGTTCGATCTAATGCTAGAGGAAGAAATCAGTTTCAAAAACCAAGAGCTATAGATTTCAGAGAGTTACCTGAGGGATATCGAAGCAGGTGGAGTTGGTTTTTTTTACACATCAAATTGAAACTGAAAATTTCAGAACACGAGAGTGAGGGTTTCTGAAATCGAAAGTATTTGAAGGGAATACTGAATTCGTCGTGAAGTAGAGAAGCAAGTCTCTGCCTTACCTGAGCTCGCCGTCACCGGAACGAGTCGCCGGAGATGGCGACCTATCGGATTTTGTCGATGTCGGAATTTGCAGGGGAAGCAAAATCGGGAAGAGTAAGGGTTTAATCTTCAACCCGTGGTGAACGAAGCGAGTAGAGCCTTTGGATTAAAGCCTCTTTTATGGCTGAAATAAAACAGAAACGAGGTTAGTGTGTTCTGATTTCAAAAGCAAAGAGTCATCGAAGAGGAAGAAGAAAATGGCTAGAGTTTTAGGGGTTTACCTGAGCTCGAGATCGGAGTCACAAGACGCCGGAGATGACGACGTTGGGGAAGCACCACGCGGTGGCTGAGACGTCGGAGAAGCCCACTAGAAATCATAGAAGAAAGCTTCCAGATCGAGAGACAGGGTGAGCGAAAAGTCTGTCGATGAAAACAAAGGCAAAGCGTTATTGTTGTTGTTTGGTCAAATGTGGAGATTTGTGAAGTTGACCAAGACAATGGGCCAAGCTAATTGGGCCTTTACAAGAATGTTAATGAAGACAAAAAGAGAAGGGGAATGAGCTTTCGGATTTGAAGCCCACATACATGGCGTTGTGACAACCGATTAAGAAAAAACTTTATATACAATCTAGTTTTCTTCTTAGGGTTAACGCTTGATGATCTCTACTTCATACTCTTGTAAACGAAAAGCCAATACCCTTTGTAAACCTTGTTTTCTAGTGGAGTTTGAGGGCAAGTGATCCCTCACGAGACGTACCTGTAACCATTTAGGGAATTCGTTAAATCTTGGTGTTATTTACTTATCTGTTTAAACAAGCGAACGGATAAACTGGTTGAGTAGAAGACTATAACAAGGTCTAGTTTAGGAACCGGTTGAGGAGAAGACTATAACAAAGTCTAGTTTAGGAGCTACGTACTTGTAGAAAAGTACAATTCAAATTATTATCAAGGTTAATTATTTAGATAATTTGACTTTAGTACCTCGGGGTTTGATCTTACCACAAAGGGTAGAAATTTATCCAGATAAACTAGTAAATGTTCTCGAGATTATTGCTCGGAAGAGAAAGCAAGAGATTTACTCTCTGCTCAATTAGTATCAATGTGGGGAGTCGAACCCCGGGGGGAACTAATTATCTCATTTTCAGAGACTCAACCACTTTGGGCAGCTGGAATTGGAGTTCTATGTTCTACTTTATTTTTATCTATACCATTTTGGACGGGTTTGCTTATTATTTGATGTTCATATTAACACAGAAACCATTTGATTTGAATTAAAAAAAAAAAAAACTGTATCGCGGTTGAATCCATCATCGATCAAAGCTTTTCTATGAAAAAAATGATTCGGATTTTAGACCATTTCAAATGATTTATTCTTGTTCCAAATATATTTTGTTTTATATATGTATCAATTTTTTGAAATTAATTTAATTAATCACAATAGATGATACTAAGTAGAATACAAAAATTTGTATCCATTTTTATCGTCTTCTATACTGAGATATATCATAAGACTAATAAGTTGATTCAAGACTAGACCGATGTATTTGAACTACCCATTCAAATCATTTTAAAATTTGTTAACAAATATATTTAAATTTTCTAAGAGTATCGGAAATTTGTCTAATTAGTATCCCAAATACTTGACCTATACTTTATAAATGAATGTAGTCTAATTATACACAATTATCAATTATCGGTTCCAATGTTTACCACATATATATTCGAAATGAGCAAGTATTAATCCACAAATACACTTCCTCAAAAAAACATTCAAATATATTAGAGTTAACAAGAAACTCCACAAATAACCTCTAAGCCCACTATATATAGTCTGAACAGTTTTTCCAAAATTTAATGAAACTTTTTTTTTATAATAAGGTAATTTATCTAGAATTAAAATATCCAAAATACTTTCAAATGTA